CAGAAAAAAGGTTTATAGACTAACAGGCGCAGTAGGAGAAAAACAATCTATTGGGACCTTTTCTGATGTACCTGTTATTATAGGTATTGGAAATAATACTTTAACAATTTCAGATGAGTTTTCAGTTTTACCAACAGAAAAAGATAGCAATGGTAAGAATATATCACTATTCATTCTTGGTACAAGATGGCAGCATCGAGCAGGCTGGGAGCCTATAGTAAAGGGTGAGTTTACCGCATCAGTTAATGGAAAAACTATTACTATTCCGCTTTCTGTTTATAATAGTGGATGGGATTACTCTATACCAATAAAAAAAAATGCATGAGCTGTGAAGCGCTTGAAAAAATGTTATACAATGCTCTCAAGTCTAAAGCAGAGCTCAATGATGCATGTGAAAGATTGCAGATTCATTATAATAAGCTATTAGGTAGTAGCCAATAAGCGTGCTATCTCTACTTTGTTTTTTTCATCTTCCTTAGATTCATTCTCATAAAATGCTCTTAAATCTTCTCCATGTAATCCTTTACTCTGAGTGCCTTTGGCTAAGTTTTCTGGGGTTGACCTAGTCTGAATTGATCCAAAAGGGATATCAGATGATTCAGAGATGTAAACAGACTTGGTTCTTGGATTCCTTCATCCAGTCTTTTTTGTCTTATTTTTAGTAGTAGTGCTACTTAGGGTCTCATGAGGGTCTGTCTTTTCTATGTGCGACAAATTAGCATTTGTTGATACCATCTCTTTAGGATCTATCAGCGGATGAACTCCTCTCTATATTTGATATACCCGCTGAGATGATATTTTGTATTTGTTTGTTATAACTTCTGATGCTCGCTTCATTGAATTTTTAGCATCAATAATATCCTGAATATCTTTTTCTGATAAGTGGGTTGCATCTGAGCGTAAGTACCGATTCATTTTTTTTCTTATAGTCAGAAAAAATCTTTCGATAAATATTTGATATATATTCAATATATATTCAGTACATGTTCAGTATTTTACTGATATATCTGATATATGTTCGGTATATTCAGTGAATTCGGTTGATTCGATATATATTCCTTTTTTCTCGCAAGCGCGAAAAAAGATTTTTTGTAATTATATGTTGTTAACAAAATATATCCGACTTTGAGTGATATAATCACAAGAAGGCGGGAAATTTGATTCAAAATTTTTTTTCTACTATAGTGGCAGTTAAGTTGAAAAAAAAGACTATGAATAATGTATATACCTTGAAAGACATCAATAAAAAAAGCGATGCTTCCACTATATCTGGGCGCCAGCTTGGTATTGCATATGAGCAAGAACTCGAAGAGAAATTAAACTCTGCTCTCAGCTCCAAGGCTGAGCTTAGAGATCTCAATGGAAGGTTAGTGGCTAAGTTTTTGCTCCTTCAGAGCACTTTACAGAAGCTAGAGAAAGAGAAGAGTTTTGATTATACCTATGATTATATTAACCAGCTAAATGATGTAAATACTAAGCTTAGATCCCGAATTACTTCTGAACGAACCTTGGCGCAAGAAGCTTTATTCTCTAATAAGATCACAATTCTTTCTCTTAAATCTAAAATAAGTCAATTAGAATTTAAGTTGGCACATTCTATACCATGCCCATCTTTCTTAGATTCAGATACAATAACAGAGATAACGGATGAGCAAGAAGATTCAGATACAATAACGGAGATAACGGATGAGCAAGAAGATTCAGATACAATAACGGAGATAACGGATGAGCAAAAAGATTCTAAGTTACCCGATTGGGTTAATAATAATTTAAGAAACCTTATCCATGAGCCTAATCTTATAAATAAAGTATGGGAAATCGATAAAAGCTTTAAGCAAGAATTTGAAGATTAATAAAACTGAGACCTCGAGGTCATATACTACCTTACACAAGGCGCAGAAATCACATGAAAAGATAGTAATATTTTTTTATTTGAAAAATAATATTTTAACTATATAGGCATTGTAATTTTTCTATCTTTCTATAAGTCTGCATCTCATGGCTCTTTGTTCAGCTTCTGCATGGAGAACACCATTTCTGACCAAATTCTTATATACTCTGATGTGCCAATGTCCATAAGGCAGAGATGAAACTCTATCAGACAATATCCAGCGCTTAGTATCTATAGAGCAAAGCGCCTTTTTTTCTGATTCAACCAATGATAGTATATGATCTTTTGATCGAATGCCTATATTCTTAGCATAGAATACTTCTTTATTAAAGAGACAGTCTCTATATATCTGAGTCATTGGAGATTTACTTTCTGGATATTTTTTCTCAACCATTTCCCTCATACCCTTCTTACTAACTTCCTTGTGCTTAGACTAAATAGACTTATCTGCCAAGACATAGTGATATGATTTTACCCGAATATGAATAGACTCTGTAATAACATTATTAGAAGTCTCATTCTTGAATTTTCCAATAGTTGGGTCTCCATTGAGGTTAAAGAGATCGGGGTGCTCATTCATATCCTTATATATATCCTCAGTCTCAATATGGTATATAAATGAATCTGTGTCTATATAACCAAGACGAGCTTTATCTCCATATTTTTCTTTTACATACCCATAACAGAAGCAATACATAAGAAGCTTGCTAAGTCCCAAAACAGATGCACCAACTATGATAGGCTTGTTGAGAGTTACACTAGCTTTTCCCATATGCGCCCCTACTAAAGTATTTCCAAGTAGTCGAGCATACTTAAAAGAGGGCTTGCGAACTTGTTTAATGAACTTCTTTTCATCTTGCTCATTATTCATGGCCATAAGCTTAACATCCTGGTATTTACGAACATTCTCTATAGTTTTGCCATATACAGAATTGTTCATAAGCTTAAAAAAGTCACTCTGAAAGATATTATTAGCTTTTTTAGCTTCATTTCGTTTCTCCATATTAAATGAAATATAAGGTTCAAGCCAGTTACTTTGATCAAATGATAGGATCTCTGTAACTTTGTCAACAACCATTCCTAGCTTTATATAATATTGAAGCTCCTGGTAATGGATTATGTAGTCTTTTCGTAGCCCAAGATGGGGAACTAATTTTTCTGTTTCTAAAAAGTGTCCACCATCCAAGGTATCTACAAGCTTAGTCATATAAGGACATAACCAATTCTTTTTTACCACAATAGTTTCTATAGCTAGTGGCAAATCGCTTAAATAGTCATGAGTCTTTATAGGAAAATGCGCCTTAATATTTAAGTAATAACCCTGCTTGGCATCCGCTTTAGTTTTGCGAATATTTTCAAGATATTTCTTTTGTTTATCAGGGTTATTAATTAAATATTCTTGGCTTGCTACCCATTCATAGCCTCCAATAGGTAAATACTGACCCATTGCCCAACCATAGAGATTTGTTGCGTCAATATATGAAATCCAGGTTGGTGGTTTGGTTGAATCATATACATCTCCCATCTTGAGATTATTGGCTGTTAAATCTCTTTGGCAATCCATAGCTATGCCACCACGCTTAGCCTTTTTAATAAAGTCGTGCTTTGCCATATCAGTAAATAGACCTATTTTTACTCCTGTCATTTTGAGCATAGCATCCCAAGCCAATGCCAGTGCTGAAACATAGTGGTTGGGATCGAGCTTATAATACTCCATACATGTCTTTTGAAATTGCACCCAAACATCTGCAAGATTAAGTACATCTGTTTTAAGATAAAGGTTATGGTACTCACCTAAGTTTCTGCAGCCAAACTCTTTCCAGACTTTTTGTGTATGATTATAGTCTTTTTGAGAGATTTTACCATTAAGGTGCCCATGGAATTCATAAATAGGTGGAAGCTCAGTCTCTAAAAATCAATCATGAGAATCAATATACTCATAGGGGTATGCTCCTTTGCGATATACTAGTGCTATTTGTTCTGAAGAGAAGTCTCTATAGTGCTGGCTTGTGATTGGGGTTAGCACCTAAATTTTTCGTAAGATTAGCCAAGCTATTGTTCATGAACTGTTGGCTATCTATATACTTGAACTGACCCACCTTCATGGACTTGTAGCGCTCAAATGTTTCAGCTATTACCTTGATATGCTGTGCATTTATAGAGTGTCCAACAGATTCACAAACTAAGTGAGAGTCATAACTATGGCAGTTGTGAAAAACTATTGGAATAGGTGTTTTCCATGCCTCTATTTGAAGTTTAAGATTACAGGCATTGTGGGCTGCTCCTCGAAACTTACCTGTTATATGGCAGTGGTCCCAAACCTTATCTGTATTTGCGCCAAACTTGTCTTTGCAAATCCAACAGCTATCCGCATTAGCAAATTTTTTTTTATCCTCTTCGGTCTCAATTCGGTCTGCTTTGTTAGCTAAGACTCTATTTATATTAACTAATTCTTGATCAATCTGCCTAACAAATTCCTGTGTTGCGTTTTCTCCTCTGTATAGGAAAGGCCCCCATACATCTCCAGTATCAATCCAGTGGACTAGATAACAAAAGCTATTGGCCTTTGGTTTCATAAGTTTGCGCATACTTCCCCATATGCTTTATCACATTTTTTCTTATCAGCCTCAAAGTCAGCTATGATAACACATGGCGCATTGATCATTCTATCATAGTTCTTGAACTTTTCAAAGTCATTGGTGCCTTTTACTGGCAAATTAACTCTTTGAGTAGCCTCTCCCAAACCAAAACAGTGTTCTTGGTGATAGGCTAGTGATTTTTCTGAGGACCAGCTTTGAAAGCATCGATTACAAAGATGCTTTTACCGTGATACTTTGTATCTTTGTATACTAGTCCATTATGATTCTTGATCCAAAGGAAGTGAATTTTTTGCCTATACATATCATCTTCATTTTTAGTAAAATCTGTAAGAGCCATAAGATAAATAATATGTTGTCTATTATAGTTTCTACTAGCTATTACCGGCTTGGGGGTTGCTGTTTCTTCATCCTACTCCCAAATATTAATAGAGATATCTGGTTCATCTCCTCAATCTTATTAAATATACGTGAACAGATTGAAGTGGGCATGGGGATGCTATCAAAGTTAACAATATATAAGTATTGCTTATATTCTTTTCTAGTAAATATTCGATCAAGATGATAGGTATGGCCATTTTTATTAGCAAAATAACAAGCTAATGCGCCTTTAAGACATTTTTCAGATAATGTATTTGTTTCTGGATCTATAAGTAAATAATTATTATGGTTAATGGTACACTTTGTATTGGCTAGCCTCATTGGTGTTGGGATAAAAAAGCCTCCAAGAGATCTACGGTATGTATACGATTCTATAAAAACCATTTCAGTCTTAAAAGAATTTTGCCAGACTCTTCTCTTAAGTAAGTCTCAATCTTTTTATCGATTTCTCCTGTAGATCTAGTTATATACTCATCTATATCATTTTCTGAAAGAAGCACATGCTGGTTTCCTTTATGGTAAGGATGGTGATAACTTGCACTATAGTTTTCAATATTACTAGGGTTCCACTTTTATATTTATATTTTACATAGGTGGCAGATACTATTAGTGCAGATTTTATTTGGTCTTTTTTCTGTAACTCTTCTTTCAAGACCTTTGTGATAGCCCCTCTTGTGCTTCCTAAAAGTTGAGGCAAATATGGCGCATCTGCATAAACAATCTGGTTATTTTGTTGTTTATTAAATGCGTATTCTGGGTTTTTGTTGGATGGGACTATAGCTTTCCAAAAGGTTACAGCATCCAACTTTTGTGTTGCCTTTCTGTATCTGGCCTTTTTTCTAGAAATTTTATATCTCCAGAGAGGGGTTCTTTTTCTTTAATACCATTTTCTGTTTTATAAATTGACTGAAAATTCTCTTTAGGAGCGTACATTTTTTCTTGAATCCTTTCTCTGTGAGCTTGGGTTGTTGAGCCTGAGCCGGCTTCATAATTTGGTTCAGGGTCTGGCAACAGGGGGTTGGGTGCAGGCTTGTATGGAAACTTTCTTTCTTGGTAGCATCTAAGTTTCCATAATTTAGGAAAAATATTACCACATCTATCACAAGTATAAGTAACCATTATAGTATTACAGTATCAAAACTATTATATAACACTTATAAAATACTTTTGTTTAATTAATAATTCCAGGTACCTATACAGGCAGGCATAACTAATTTTTGGGTACCCATAATGAAATTTTTTGGTATCCAAACCATGATATTAACTCTCTAAAGACCGAATAAACCCAAGCAGGGTAGCAAAAGTGTGATAGTTTTTAGAGAATTATAGACCAAATAGAGCCCAAATAGGATATCATAGTCTATTTGATAGGTTACAAACCCTAAAAACCCCAATGGGGTATAAGAAGGTGGATACCTTATTTGAGACTTAAGATATACTTAGAGGCTTAATTTAGATGCCGAAGGGGGATTAATACTCTATTTGAGGCTCTAGATATACTTAG